CAAAAAAATGTAATGTTTTTGCAAACAGCAAAATAAATGGAATTGAATGGGAATAACCAGGGTAGAATTTGGAGGTGATCAAGTGTCACTCTGAGTTGGTGGAAGGGTACAGCGCTGCTGCCTCTCACCTCCCCCTCCCATGTCATGCATGCACTCAGCCTAGTAAAAAGCTGGTTTTTCTCACTGAGAAGGAAGCAAGAAAGGAAGAAAATCTGACTGTGACAATACTATTTGTAAGTGCTTTCAGGGTTCATGCAAATACAAAAACAAACATGAAGGAGCTTAGTTCAGGCATTGGCATAAGGATTGCAAGAATTCACACTGTGAATCTGAGCTTTAGTCCCAAGAAGGAAAACAAAAAAGAGTATACACTCTTCTCATCTCCTTAGTGCTTGTTGATGCAAATTGAGTAACTGCACAGAAACCGGGAAGCTTTGAATTTGCCCTTTCCAGCACACCTGAAGGCACATGAGTCATAGCACCAGCTATTTAATTTTTTTTTTTTTTGGCCACACTACCTTGGTGGTTTGCAATTTCTTCTCCTACTGTTGTTCCACTGCATTTCAATACCAAAGGAGGTATTGCTTTCTCCCTGGGGTATGTCCCACATCAGAATGCTGCCACATGCCCTGCATTTGACCTTTGCTTTTATTGTTGTTAAAGGGGGGAAAGAGTTGGCTTTTTAAAGGAACAAAAATTAATTGTTTCCTCAGAAATGCTTTTATGATGATAGGACAGCTGTGGGAGAAACAAAAAAGAGAATTTACGTTTAAGCAAAGGACAGGGAAAGGTCAGAAAGCAATCTGCAGGACTGCAGAAACACTGCAGCTATTCCTCAGAGCAATTTCTTTGAGCAATGAAAGAAGTAAAGCCAATTGAATATGCCTCAAATACAAAACAAAAATAAAGTTAAAATAGATGTCAGACTGCATTTTTGCTCTTCTTTTTGTCCTTGTAAAAAAATAGTGTAATTTCCAGGCCACTACAACATCAATCATGTTGTGATGTGCTGCTAATAAGGCTGAAGACAATGCAATTTCTTGTCAGTCATCAATCAGTGGCTCTAAGGATAGATTTCATCAGCAAAAGAATCCACAACATGTGAGATCTGCTTTTATTGTGATGTGTGTTAATTACTCACGAGACATTATGAGGTGATTTCCTTATACTAATGATGGTTTTTTCCTTTAATTTTCCCTATCACTTGTGCTAACAGTTTCAGTATGTAACCAAACCCAAAAAGTTTACCATAGGCAAGTGATTTGAATATCAATATAAAACTTTTGGATAACAAAAGTTTCCTGTGGGAAATTAAAACCAATGGAAAGAGAAGTCTGTGTTATACTGGAAGGTGTTATATTGTGCCACCTTTCACTCCAAGAGTTGCATATTTTTCTGGTAATATCTCCTATTGGCTTGAATGTGATAACTTAAAATGTCAGGCACTGCTGATTATCAAATCAACAGATCTCCTTGGCTTGGAAGATTTACTCAGAGGAGTAAAGTTATGAAACCTAGTCCTAGTTTATCCTGCAAAGCACTAACCTTGTTATTTCTTGGCAGCTATGAATGTGAATTCCCAGTTAAGATAACAAAGGGAAATATTCTTGCTTGCCTCATATTAGACTCACCCAGCATAATAGCAACTGTCCTAGTTAGAGCAGCTGGCACCAGTTCATCACTGTGTGGGTGTAACCCAAACTGTGTATTCTACACCCTCTATATCATTTCCCAAGAACTGTTAACAATAGACCATTTGCAGCAGCTGCCCAGAGCACACCTGACCCCTCAGGCTATAAGCTGGGTGTTAAGAAGCCTGTGAGATAGGAGGATGTTCCTATCCTCACACCAATGATTCTGGGGAGTCATTAACACCTCCATATCCAGCTTGAGGGGTGATGTCTTCTAATGGGCCACCAAGGATTCCAAAAATATCTCATGACTCACAATCACCCATTGTGGAACTCCCTGCCCTGGAGGAGGTACCGGGCATTCCCCCTCAAACCTAGTGTATATAATCTTGGAGTCTTGGGACTTCTGGGCCCCCACTCGCCAGATCCAGAGGAGGACCAGAACTTCGACCGGACTGCGACCACCACTCGACCGGACTGAGACCAGCACTCTCACCAGCAGGTTTTCCTTTCCTTTTACTTTGGACTCAGGAGGACCATGTGGGGCTCAGCACAGGGGCCAACGAACACCATTCTGTTCGTGCCCCAGGGTGCTGGGTTATACATCTGGGTTTTGTGGGCTAAAACCAGTTGTTTGTCCATATAATTGTATTTATTGTATTATTGTTATTAAATTGTGACTCTGACTTATAATCTCTTTTCAGTTGGGTTCATTTCTCCTTCCAGTTTACCTTTAAACCAGCACAGCAACAAATAGCATACGGTGGTGTAGATTAGAAAACCACAAGTGACAAAGCAGTATTCAAATATACCCTTACTATAAAGAACAAAAAATGTTGAAAACAGATAATATAGTATTTGAAAACATGTTCACAGACATTTCAGTGCTTTTGCAGAAGGGAAAGTGTCAAAGTATTAATAAAAAAAGGAACTGAAATAGGCATATTATGATCTTTTCATCCAAATCAATTAAAATATAATTAAAGTAACGTTTTTATTTTGCAGGAAAACACAAATGCAGTCTATTTTGTGTTATTTATCCTCTAGCTTTTTCCCCAGTGCCCTGTTGTTCTTTCTACAGAGAAGCCCTGTGAAGTCACCCACACTAAATCATACTTGGGAATATTCTAAATGAGTATATCAGTTTTCAGCACTAACAGATAGGAAACTGGTAATTTGCATTTTGTACATAAGACCTTAAGGATTTAGAAAGCTATTTTTAGTCTGGAATAGGTTTGATATTTTAAGCAGAGATCTGATGTCATGTTTAAATGGCACAACACTGTATGGTAGAGACATCCCTGTGCTCTCATGAGTACCTTTGAATGACTCAGTGCTGCCCAGCAGCAGTAGCTTACAGCAAGTTTTGCTGCGTGTCCAAAGTATCACTGTCAGAGCTTGGGGCCTTTGGCTGCACTGCGAGAAGGAGATAAGGAGAATAGTATGATATAACATAATATTACTTCTGTTGCTATGACAGTGCTCACAGACCAGCCAAAACCAGGGGTTGTCTGTGCTAGGTGCTCAATTATTCCCCTAGTGGTACACTTTTATTCTGCTAGCTCCACAGCCAGGAAAAATAAAACACTTCAGCTTAAAGCTAGTTTTGGCAGAAGTTTGGGGTTTAACTATCCATAAGAGAAACAGAAAACATAGAAATAAAAGTTGGTGTGATGAGTTTTGGCAACACACAAAACACTAGAAAGTGAATTCAGTGATTATGGCATAGCAGTAATTCTCCTCTACCATAGCTGCATTAGTGAACAGAAATACTAAATATGCATTACCATTATTCATGATAAACCATTTGCTAAATTAGTCAAAATCACAGTATTCACATTCTCAGGAATTGCTGTATGTACAGTTCTGAATGTAATGGACATGTTTTATTATTGGTTTTTGAAGTAACACAGCATTGTGAAACCTGATGAAATTCCTGCATGCAAGCACAGTGGAAGCCATTACGTAGAAAAGCAGCTGCTTCCCTTCTGCTGCACTAAAAATACATCATATTTATTGGAATTTATAAAATAATCATGCTAGAGATTCATCAGAATATCTGGTGATGTGAAAACTATCCCTTAGCTTTTGGAAGAGGGTGATCCAATCTGTGAGCAACACCAGCAATAGACAAAGCTTTGCTATGATAAAATGAAAGGAAGCTGGATATACATGGATATAAATGAAGGTGGCTGATGTGTGTCAGGAGAAAACACAGTCCATAACACAGCATCAGGCAAAAAGATTGCCTATTTATGTCATAAACTTGTTTTCCTCTACGTGTGGCTCAAAGGGAGCAGGGTATGGATATTTATAAAATAATTCTCAGATTTTGACTTGGAAAAAAAAAGATATATTAAGAAAGAGTTGGGAACCAGAACATCAGATGACAGGCTCTGTCCCCTACTGCTAAGTCAGCTTCATGACGAGACTTCAGTATCTGGTGACAAAGCCTGCCTGCAGGATTCCTGGTACAGAGGGGAACATAAAAACAGAACAGTTTCTGAGGCTCTAGATTTCTTTAACATCATGGATACTGATGAGAAGAGCCTTTGATTTTTAGTTGAAACTCTAAGAAAGCTTTTAAAATAACTAGGAAAAGCAACAGATTTGATGGTCAGAACAAGAAAAAAAAGTGGAAATAAATTAATACTTTAATTCTCACTTTTTGATTGTTGTATCTCTCTTTCCTTTTCTCCTTGTCTTTCTTTCTCATGCAGACCTGTGTGTCCATAGTAAATTGGTCTCTTGCAATAATTTATTTTGAAAATTGAGAACATAATTTAGGCATTTCCAAAGGACTGACTTAGATGTGGGAGGTCTGTGCCTTCCCTTACCCTAGTAAATTCAATCTCTAACTCAGTTTGAGCTACTAAAAGACTTGTTCTGGTTATGAATGGATACAATTTTTAAGCCAAATGTTGGCCTCCCAATACTTAAGATATTCAACCCAAACCTCATACCTACATATCTTCAAATACATTTCTGAATGACTTTCTGAGCTTTCGTTTAAATCCATGTGTTTTCTAAAGAAGTAACTATGACATTGTGCTAGTTGGAATTTATTGTTCAACAGCTCGAGGCTGTGGAATACGGTCTGCCAGATTTGCTGTTACTATAGTCATTCCTGATGCATTTTGTTGTTGTGTTATTTGATTTAAAGAGGTAACATATAGTCCTAATGAGAGATGTGTTTTTAAATAGTCACATTTAAATCCTGGGTGTATAATTTGACTTGTTAGCAAGAAGTATTCAACAAGATTTACTTGTTTAATTAATAAAAACTGAAGCATCAATTCTATGGTGTTTTTTTTTTTTTCTTATGCAAATAGTTCTCTCATACTCTGCCTCCTGCACTAAAGCATTTACCTTTTATGCAAAATGGTCCATCGTAGGCAGTTTTGGAGCAGTCACAGGAGTAGCCGTTGTATTTCTCGACACATTTGCCGCCATTTGCGCAGTACATCCCATAGCTCGTGCAGTGGCCGGAGCAGCCAGGCTTCACCCCTGGAGTGACTTTTGCTCTCTCTTCCAGGTCCAGTGTCACCCCGTTCATCCTTAATGAACGAATGCAGCCTAGGAATCCTCGCTGGCCTCCTGCAGCACCTGAGAGGGAGTGTAAAACTCTGAGACAACACTGAACAGATTTTATTGTTGCTTTACATGAAATATCCTGCTAAGCTTGTGACAACAGCTGGAAATGGTAACTTCTTTAAGAGGACAAGGAATTATCCTAATGACAGTACAATCAATGAAACCTAACCTTTTGATACCATACCATAAATAAGCATAACTAGCAGATTTTTTTAGCAATAAGTGTTTGCTTTACACTGAACAGACATTTGAGATTCTGGCCCTACACTGCAAGATTTCACTTAATTTCAACTTCAAGATTTTTAGAGATAATGGTGGAAGAAAAGGTCTTGGCTGGATTGCTAAGGTATAGCCTTTCTCTCCATATAATTAGTGATGACCGATGCTAATAATAATGCCATAATATGCTTTGCAGTGTTACATTTTTCAAAGCCATAATGGGCAAAGAAGAAAAAGATTCGAATCCCCACTCTCAGTTACCATAGGAAAAACAGATGTTAAATTTCAAGCAACGTCAGGTACACTGGTTAGTTGTCTGAACATAGAGTAAAGAATGTAACGCTCAAAAGCTATGCTTGAAAGTCTGAGTGGAGACAATTTTTCATAGCAGTTAATAAGAACTGTTCTTCTTTATCCCTAGTAAGCACTTGCTGAAAAATATGATTTCAGCTAGGAAAGTCATATCTGAGGCTGGATTAGAAACAACAATGAAAAAAAGCAAATTAAAAAATGCAAGTAAATAACAGTGAGTGGCTGGCATCCTTTCTGCTCATCTCTCCTCCCTTTGATTACTGCAGTGCCTCAGGTGCCGAAAAGTCCCTGAGGAGATCTGAATGCTCCTCACCACAGAGCACAGAGGCTGATATTTATCTGAGTCGGAAAGAGGGCTAAATATGAACCAGAGACAGCCACCTCAAATCAAGTGCTTGTAATTGGATGACTTGGACTGGAGGAGGCAAGGCTTGGTCTCTGCTGAGTGCACAGGGCAGATGGAATTCCGGTGTGATTCTATTCTATACAAACTCATATACACTGCAGTGATGAAAAACCTTCTTTCCCCTCTTGGTGACTGTCCTAGCCCCTCGGACACAAAGTCATCATACCTAAGACTCTCTTGCTGGCCCAAAGAACAGATTATTCTACAGATTTATTTTACAGAAAGCAGAACAGGAGGCACTGAAACAATTCTTGTTTGATATTACTCTCCAGGGCCTGATGTTCAGGTGTTCATTTTGGGCACTCCCAACTCAAATCCACTCTAGGTCGGTCTCTGGGTAAGGTTTAAATCTGTTCTCTCAGAGGTGTGCTCCAATCACCAGGTTATATGGAATAGATATTATTCAGAAAGAAAAAAAAAATCTGTTGCAGATTTTGACATTCATGTTTTGGTAATATAGGTACTATATATTTCAAGACATTGCTGGTGTTGCAGTCAATTCAAAACTAACAAATAAAATCATCATTATTAGCAATTCTCAAAGAACTCAGACTGGGAAAAAAACCCCATCTCTTCCTGCTTTCGGCAAAAGGTTTGGTATTTCTTTTAAAAGGTTAAGGCTCTCTCTTTTAAACAAGCTTCATCTTTCAGCTTATTTTGAAACTGCCTTTTATGGACATCATAGCAGTAAAGGAGAATCTGAGCTTGTAAATAACACCTGCACATCTGGTGACACATTGCACACAGTTTGCAGTGGCACTGGGCTGATTACTAAGGCAATGAAGGCTTTAAACATCATTTTAATTCATTTGTTTTGTTGAATGCTGACTAACACAGGGAAAAAAAATAAGACATTTTTTTCTTTCCCCCTTCCCTCTTCTCCTGTTACAGATTTCTAGAGAGGTATGAAAGTGCTTCTTTACTCAACATTTCATGGAGTTCTAATTCCAGCTAATGACACTTGGCATGTCGGCGCTTCGCAGCCCCAAGGCTAACAGAGAAATACAAGTGCTGCTGCAATAATCTGCCCAAAATGTAGTGGAAACCAGTAGCTCCAGAAAGCAGCTGGACTAACTTGTTTCCAGGGAATGCATTTGTGTAACACTATGTAGTGCTTTTCTACACTGAATGGGCAAACAGCCCATGGGACTAAAGGGAAAACACCGCAGTGAGAGCCGTGAACACAAAGGGATGGACAGTGATCAAATCTAAAGAGGCTGGAAGTGCTGCCAAGGCTAGGATGGGCACTGCAGGCACATGCAGTCCTGTCAAGGCTCTGCAGAAGTTCTCACTTTCCTAGTGAATAAGTTTGCATGTCTGGTAGAGGCACTTGGTAAAAAATAAGTTTGGCACTATGGCCTGCTGGAGGTACTTTCAGCTGGGAGCTGCAGGTGGAGAAAGACAAAACTGACAAATTTCCAACACACAATATCAGTCTCTTAGTTAATCTTTGTACTTATGGACATGCTTGTCTTTTCTTCCCCAACCCCCTGCCCCAGCTTCCCTTCCCACTGCTGTCACGCAAGAGCTTGAGGAGCACAGCTTCCCACATTAAACCGACTGCTGCTGGCCAGACTCAAGGCAAAGAATGTCCATCATGTGAGAGCAAAGCCTGGCTACCCACTCTGCATCTTACCAACATAGAGCTGGCTGTACAATTCCAGTCGCGTGTGTCCTTCTGTTGGTGCTTTCCGCACCTCCAGGGGTAACTGGTCTACCTGCAGGCTGGCTTGTTTGACATTCCTCTCAGCATTGACCCGATGCCACTGGTCATCATTGAGCTGGCTGGGAGATCTAACGACAATTTCCACCGGCCCATTTCCGACATCGAATGAAAAGGAAACCTCTGTAGCAGCTGAAATATCAAGGAAAAGGTGTTTACAATTTGTTTGCAACCTTACATTGTAAACACATTCACTTATACTGCCTAAACAGTAAGGAGTCATATTGAGTAGAAATATGTATTGTAAAGTCCTCTTTCTGAATTTATAAGCACATTCAGTTCCTTCTAATTTGAGAAGGAGTTAGACTTTTAGAAGAAAACATCAACAGGCCCTAAACAATAATCTTTGATCCCCACAGCTTTCCAGTTTCCGATTTTTTTTTTTTTAGGGAACAAGCATTTTGATTAAAAATGGCACAGAAGTCTAAATTTTTTTTTATTTTGAGAGGTAATTAATTTTTACAATGAACTAATAATGCTGTGGTTATGACCTATGTGAGTTTTTATCGCTAAAAAAGGAAATGGATCCCTAGTAGGCCCTACAGCGCTCTGTTTATAGTGGATGATTCAAATCAAATTTAGAAACTTTGCAAATGTCCCTTAGGCCCTATTAAACACTCTTTTGGGTCATCCTTAGCAAATATATACTTGATACTTATTATTAAATGGTGAGTGTGATTAATAATATCTAAAATATTTTGGAATCAAGAAATATAATTTTGACTTTCCTACTTATATTTACTTTGTATAACTTGGGGCTGAAAATTATACTCTGATGGTAAAACACCAGATGAAAGGGTTAACAGACAATGGATTATCCATGATAGCATTCACAAAGGAAGATACCAGACAGAAGTAAAAAACAACCCAGAATTCTGTTTAATTTGTTTTTCTTACATATAAAATAAAAAAGTCAGAGCTCCCTTTTAATTCCTCTGAAAAATCTCAGGTGCCCAATTATGGTCTCAGTGTCCAGTACAGCTGTGGTTTCTTGTTTGGTTGAATTAATAAAATACTATTGTAAAAATCTTACTCAGTTAAGCCATTGAATTGCGATAGAAGCATCACTCCATGGACATTACTACTAATAATACTGATAAATAGTGGGAAATATTTTTGTACATGGCCTAATAGATTTTCATAAGGTTATGTCAGACTTAATTGACAGCATTTTTATGAAATTGAAAGGATAGGAATAAACTTTTTACAGGGAATGTTCTTTCAAACTACATTTATTATATAATTGATTTTTTTCAAAATTGGCTACTTCTAAAAGAAAAAAAAAGCTGTTGTACTTTCTGTTCTCTGCTGAATAAAATAATTTAATTTCTTGAATGAACTGCCTTTCATAAACCATGAATTTAGTCTGTTTGGCCTTTTGCACTTAACAAGGTACAAAATTTTTATGAGCCATTGCTTGCTGTTAAAGAAATAAAGATGTTTCATTTTAATGATGTTTTGTAACTTCAGCAGTTCTGCCAATAAACTCAGGCAAATTAGGAATTGGAGTAAAACCTCTCCAGTACTTAAATTGTATGTCGTGTTCAAGTCTATTTTCAAGGGAGTGTGTATAATTCTCCTTTACTTTTTGCTTTGAAGAACTGCTTCAGATCTCTTCACCGTCAGGCTTAAATTGCTTCCCAAAACCTGTATGTCTACAAGACTGTAAAATGAGAAACCTTTAACAGACTTTTGCTCTTATTCTGAGGCAGATGATGACATTGTTAACATTGCTTGTGGGTAACTTGACCGTTACTGCACCCAGGATTTTTGCAAACCTCTAGAAGAATGCTTCTTTGTTTGCAAACTCTTGGTCTTCTGGATGGAAGTATCTCTATTTTTTTAAAGGAAGGTTGTTCTTCTTTTAAAAGGGAAAGTGTAGAGAACTGGCAAATAAAGATGTTTCAAGTAGAAGTTCTGTACTTGCTTCGTCTAACTTTATGCATGGCTTTAAGCTGAAATTTGTATCACAGCCTAAAAGACAAACAATTAAATTTGTGCTTATTGGAGTACATTATTCACTTTGAAATGAGTACCATTTGAATAAATTAATATTATATTTTTATACTTAATCTTATAGTTAGGGAAGGAAAATAATTTCAAAAAAATCTGTTCATGAAGGTCATTTTCAGTGCATGTACCTTACTGATGTGCTGAAAGTTAGAGAAGACAATACAGCATCTATGGACTGTCCTGATCCTTCCACAACCAACCTAAAAACATGATTCTCATACCAAAAGGTAGGAAATTTATTTGCTAGATTGATGGACTGAAAAAACATGAAACATGTAGATGAAAAGAACTTTAGAGATGGGCAGAGTGTATCAGGGGTTAATTATGCTGATACTTTTGGTCTGCGTTTGGCCCCGCCACCTGTGAAAGTTTTGCTTCTTCTCTGCCAAGTTATGGGAAAACAAGCACTGATAAACAGGAAAGTCGTCCTTGAAGAGAGCTTCTTGTATAAACTGTTTTAATTGGTATTCTGTGATTGGCTAATTGTCCTCCAAGGTCGCTTGAAGGAGAAATTGAGGAGGAGGAGGAGGATGAAGTAGTGCCCCCAGACTCAATTAAGAAAGACCCCCAAAGCATACTGCACGTGCGTGAGGGGATTTCCGAAGTTCTCGCGCATGTGCAGAAGAAACGGGGGTTATGCACTTACATAACTGGGAGGTGGGACTGACGGCCTCTGGCTGGGCTGTGCTGGCCACACCTGGGAGGTTGTGGTCACTCAGTAAATTGTATAAAAGCAGATAGTGCTCTCTTGGCAGGGGCTAACTTTACTTCAAGGACAACGTTGCCTTTTGGCGGGGACACCTGCCCATTTGTGAACTTACTGACATTCCAAGGATGCAGCTTCTGCTCTGGGTAATTATAGGCATGCTAGGTCGGTAAGATAACTTTATGGGCAACAGCTGGGTAACTGGAGAGGTTGTGCTGGGGGCTTATTTCTCTCCTCCTTCCTTCCTTTTGGGTTTGTTCATTTTGTTGGCCACTTCTTGGTAATAAATATTGGTTTTTGTTAAGTTTTTAACAGTGTCTGAGTTTCCAAGCTTCAGTATGTCTTGAACCCTCCCTAATACAGCAGAGGCTTCATGACAGGATGTCTCGTGTGCAAGTTATGTTGCTGGTTCTGACTCTTCATTCTTAGTTCTATTTTCAGCGTATGGAATAAGGATGTTTTCCAGCTGGGGACATCTCTAGGTAAAATGACAGGCACTTGTACCTTAATAGAAATGGATGAATATCTGACCACAGGCACGTTAGTCAGAAAATGAAGACAAAAGAAATTGTACCACTGCCCAAAATGAGACAGGTTACCTGGTGACAACTGACAGGGAGAGGGCTGAGGTACTTAGCTTTTTCTTATCTCAGTTTTCATTGACAATTGCTTTTCCCACATCTTTTGAGACTGAATCTCAAGGCAGGGACTGGGGGAATGAAGAGTTCAAGGCCAGGTTGGATGGGACTTTGAGAACACCATGCTGCCCCCCCTCCTCCTTTTTCCTCTACCCCAGCTTTACTGCTGAGCAAAGTGTTGGCCCTTTGGTCAATGATCAGTCGTCCTGGCTGTGTCCCTTTCCAATGTCTTTGCTACCCTCAGCCTCCTGACAGGGAGAGACAAACCTTTGATGCTGTGGAAGCACTGCTCAGCTATAGCCAAAACACTGGTGTGGTATCAATGCTGTTTTAGACACAAATCCAAAACACACCACTACATGGGCTGCTGTGGAGAAAACTGACTCCATCCCAGCCAGAGACAGTAAAATATCAAATTCGTTCAGGAGTTCAGCTCAACTACTTGTGCTGAGAAGAGTAGCAATTATTTAGCTTTTTTTCCTATTTTGTACTTTTCAGCTTCTCTTTGTCTACACATACAAACTTCTTGGACTCAAATACATTGTTGGTTGCTGTGACAGTGGTATTATTCTGTCAAATGTTTGAAGGGGGTGACTAAAATATATCTAAGATCCATGTAACATACATGTACATATGTACATATTTATCTGCAGTGACCAACTGGACCAGGACAAGATTTTTTTTTCAGAAAGATACAGAAAATGAGCTGCACAGGTCCCAGAGATTTGTACTGCTCAGTCACTTTGTAGCTCATGAAGTGAGTTTTTCTAACGATGATTTTATTTTCTATTCTATCGAATACAGTAAAACTCAAACCAGTTTTTCTAAGAAATGAGAATAAGGATCAGACTTTGAACAAATGTCTGAAATTGCTACATTATGATATTGAAAAAAATAAATGTGGGTTTTAAGTTATTCAGTCAATACAAGGTTTTGTGATGGAAATTTCATAATATTGAATGAGGGTGAATTTTTTATGTGCTCCTGCTACATATATTCACTCAGTAAGCTGAGGTTTGTGGCTTAGTTTTACCCTTTCTGTACCTTGTGCAATTACATATAATTAAATCTGAACACTTTCCTTTTATTGATTCAATTTTCTAAGGTCTCAGGTCATGGTCAGCCATCTGTTCAGAACACAGAAGAGCAATTTTGGCAAAAAAAATGCCCTTCTCACTCTTTGTTCTGTGTTCTTGTTTTTTAGCTCTATTCAGATCCCATCTTAAATCCGTGAGGTATTTGCCCATAAAAAGGAAGGGATACAACTGAGCCACTGTGTAGGATGAGCTGGCTAGGCTGGACAAGTGGGATAACAAGAACCTATGAAGTTCAACGAAGATGAATATAAGTGCTTGCACCTGGGAAGACATAATCCAGGACTGCAGCAAAGACTGGAATTTGCCCAGCTGGGGAGCAGCTCTGTGGCAGCGGACCTGGGGGTCCTGGTGGACAACAAGCTCAGTATGGGTGAACAGTGCCATGCTGTAGCAGAAAAAAACCAAGTAGGATGCTTGGTAACATCAACAAGGACATCACCAGCAGAGATAGAGCAATTATTTTCTCACTCTTCTCAGTGCTTGCCAGGCCACACACGGATGTACAATGTTCAGTTTCAATCCTCACTAGACAAGAAAGATGTAGACAGGCTGGAGAGGGTCCAGAGAAGGTCCACAAAAATGATCAAAGGACCAGGAAGCCTATTCTACAAGGAAAGGCTGAGAGAACTGGGTTTGTTCAGCCTTGAGAAAGGAGTCGTGGGGGACACCTTCTGACTG